ATGTTTTGGAAAAAAAACAAAAAAACTACAATCGCATTTGAAAGATTTTTATTAAAGAAAAATTCAATTTGATACTTTAAAAATTAGTATATATTGTTCCAAACACAAAAGAGCTCAAAACATCAAAATAAGAAAATACCTTAAATCAAAAAAAGGTTTACTGTTATTTAGTTTAGTTCAAAACCTACAAAATCTTCATTGCTTTCACTGTAATTTATTTTTTTATTATTTAGGGAGCATTATAAATAGTTATGTTTTTAAAAGAAAAAAAACTACTATTGTTACAAATAACACATTCAATTGAACTTACCTATGCATGCCTATTTAAATATATTTACACATGGCTTGTGTATATCGTATATATACATATATATTATTCATACCTTCGGTGTATAGGATGCAAGCAGATTTTGACATCAAATTTTGGGGTAAAAAAGTGTGTCTTATACACTGAAAAATATGGTATATATAAACTTATAATATTCACACTTATTTTTAAGTTTCTGCAATTTTTGCCCTCTGTTCAGAAAGTAAAGTGAGAAGAGTTTCATTTAGGTAACAATGCAATAGCTTTATTCATTCCATTGTTTGTATAAACAGCTATGTAATTAATGTGAGGAAACTGCATTATTTCCATCTTTTCAACATTTTAGATTGCATTAAGTGCAATGTGTAGCACACTCTTATTTCCTTTTTATTTCTTCAGGAATTTTTTCTGAATGTAAAAAATATTCTGAGGACAACTCCAGCTCATGGTATTGAAGCTTTCCAGAAGTGGAGTGAACAAGAACATCAGTTGAATGATAAGTAAGGATTTTAGACTTTCAGATTTTTTTTGTTTGTTTCTACTTGACCTTACAAAATTTTCGTCTATATCTCTCATTAGTACTAAACAAACTTATTAATGTTCAGTTGCTGTGATGTAATCAAATTCAACTGTATGTTTAGATTCTCTTTTTTGTGTTTTTATGAGGTAATAGCTGTACCATGTTTAAAATAAGTCTGTTTGAAATTAAACATGGTACAATATAGATGCACTTCATCTTATACTAACTAAGCATCCCTTTTGGGAAAGTGAAATGGTTCAGCAGTAAACTCAGCTGTAGATTCAACAGATATATAAGCTCAAATATTAGGCTGGGATTCTTATCACAGTGTTTTTCTAAAACAACCAAATTTTTGTTTACTTCCCAATTATTACTCTGTTTTATAATTCTTCTTCACAGGTTTTATGAAAAACAAGCAGGAGTGCATGAATCATTATGTGGTAAGTGCATTATTTATGATATTCTTTACTAATATATCCAAAGAAAATTAACTAACTAACAGTAGAACGTTAAAAACTGACTTGAAAGAAAGTCACACTGATACAGGAGTTTCAGCTTCATATAAGAAAAGTTTGCTTTTGGATTGTACATTCTTATTGTAGGACTTAAATATCCATTTATGCAAGATTTTTGTATTTTTACACAACTAGAAATTTTCTGTGACTTTTTTTTTTTTCAAGTGAGAATTATTGTTTTGTCTTTCACAGATAACATTGACACCCGAGGAGCATTAGAACACATACGTGATCTAATCACAGCTAGCAATGTGTACATTAGGGACAAAAAAGGAGACAAAGAACTTCCGAACAGACTACTATTGAAAAATATAGCCTCATATATCACTAGACTTTTTAAGGTACATGTTTTTGTATTTATTTATAAATGATATTATCTTTAGAATATTGATCCATTGTTTGCACATTATCAAACACCTGATTTCTACTTTTTCTTTAGTCTTGCAGTTTTTATCAGAGTAGTTAATTTTGTCAGTATCTTCTTTGTACACCAATCACACATTTATATATCAAAAACCATTAGTTTAATTTTTGCAGTCTAAAAACAATAGCAAATAAAGAGAACGTCATTGAAGAAAATATTTCAACTCTTGTTGAAAAGATTTTGCAGACCATCACAGTGAGAAACTAGTGTAAGAACTTGTCTACTGGGGAGTACAAATTTTTTGTTGGTTACAGAGCTATTAAATAGAAAATCAGACACCTCCTGCCACATCCTCTTTTTCATGATTTATTAATAGTTCTTTCTTACGTTTAATTATATATTATCAATAGAAAGCCAAGGTTTCCATCTATCAGATGATGTATTCTATTACATTGTTTTCTGAACACAAAATAGTCAGTTTCACTTATAATACAACTTTGGTTCCCATGGGAATGACAATGGCTAGCTTCGATGCATTTGTAACGACTCTTGTTGCATAGTTAGAAAGCCAGAAAAATTGTGATTGTTAGAGAAAATTGTCTTTTTTTTTGCATGTTATTAGTCTATGTTCTTTGGTGCATTATTTTATTAAATAAACATTATTTAATGCACTTCTATAATTAGTATAAAAAAGTAGGGTTAAGTGTTATCGATAGTTGACAGAAAAAAAAACATTAGGTAAGTACTTTGTTTCTGGTTTTTTATGTTTATTTTTTATTTATTATTATAAAAGTAACTAAAATGTAGAAATAGAAATCTCTTTATGTTAGTTAAGGTTAGATTAGGTAAAATAAACAATAATATTTATATAATAAAGATATTTCCCGAGGCATGCACGCGAGAAGTTCTGAGTAGCTCATGGGTAATGTAATTCGATAGCATAACGTGAGGTGCACATTCCCCAAGTGATTTATAACTTATAATGGTGGGAATAGTAGTTAGATATGGTTCAAAAGGCAATAAAACAATAAAATTTAATTTTAAATTTATGTATACTGTTACGGTTTAAAGCTACTTAGGATAAACAAATGTAGTTTTACGCTACATTTAAAGTCATTCTAGAAAGAAAAGGAGGGTAATTTAGATTTATTTATATTTTTATTGTGGTTACAAGGTCAGTCGAAGTAACCAACCTTGTATAGAGTTACGGTAGAAAAAATAACAGATAAAATATAAAGTTTTACTGAAAACAAACATTTGAAATATATTTAGGAGGCTTTAGAGATTCCACAAATGAAATTTGAGATTTTTGAGATCAGGAAAGTATTTTTAATTTTAACATGAAAATCATTTTGCACACAAACTATTCAAAACAAATACTCAATATATTCAAGGACAAATCTTTTTTTTTTAGTTTATCAAAAATACTTCAATAAAAATATGATTTTAGTATGTGAAAGGCTTATAATGTTCACTGAAAGACTGCCAAATTTTGTGAAGATATACACGCGATATCAAAAGTTAGTAGTATCAAATCTATAAAGACTATCAGTACAAAAAGGTCATGTGGTCAGTCAAATTGACAAAGCCCATGTGGAAAGAGAGTTAAAGGAGTTTAAGGGCTGGCTTTGATGTTTTATTTTTATTTTAAAGTTTAGTGAATGAGATGGCCAAGATGAACCAATAGGTCCCTTGTTGTCCTTAAATTATATGTATGTATATGACAAGGAAGGTCCTGTTGTTTTTCTACTGTTTAAAACATTACTTATAAGAGGAACTCCTTTTGAATTTTTGTCTCATCAGATATTTGGTGCTATTGATGCAGAAGATTCTGTTGGTTTTCCACAAGGAATGGCTGCATCAGCCAATGTAAGAATTGTTTTTATTTTTACACACATTAGTTTAAGAATTTAGGTAAATAATTTTTACGTGATTTATTTCAAGCTTTACATAAAAGTCAGATAATGAAATGTTTCTTGAAATTCCTTGTTATTGTATTTCATTATTTATGAGATATCTAAATAAACATTTTTTATTGAGCATGAAACTTTTTTATTTTTAAGGTATATTTTTTTGACTATGATAAACAAAACTTACACGTTTTGATTCTCTTAAATGTATGTTATGTTATTTAAGCAACTAAATACATAACATTTTAATGGAGAAAAATCTAAAAATGTGCCATTAATAAATACATGAGCTTTGTTTTGAAATGAATTTGTGTGTTTACTTTGTTTCTTAGTAGTGGTAAATGGTAGGATTCAGTATTTAAGATCATAAAAATTTGAGAGTATTAAAAGTAGAAATTGATTTTTACAGAGAGAGAGAAAGTTTGGTGTGATTTCATCAAGTTCTTGTACTTCTTTTTTATTACAGAATTTTATGTTTGTATGACAAAGTTGTTGATGTTGAATTATACTTTATATTAACTTATAACAATCTGTTTGGTATTTATTTATTTAACACTACATACAGAAAAATAATTCTTACATAAAAAATTTTAATATTTCTTTTTTTTAACCATTTCTTGAAATCAAGGTTGAAGAAAATGTAATGCCATATCTAACTGCACTTGCTGATTTCCGGGAGAGAGTTCGACATGCATCACGGGAACTCAAAGGTTAATATATTTTATAAATTAGAGTTCTTTAAGTGATTCATTGAAAAATAAAACAATTTTATTATGTAGAAAAAAAGTTGATTGTAATTATTGAAAACTTTTTTGAAGATGTATTTGTATAAGATGGTAACATAGCTAAAATGGAAATTTATACTTTGACTTATGTTTATAATGCTGTAATGAAACTTATTTCTTGTATAAGCTATAGTGCTATTAAAATAATGAACATTTTGTTGTTTTCATTTTACAAGTTCTTTAATTATGAGTAATTTTTTATAAAGCAACAGTACTTGTATCAGAATTTGCATTCAAGATATTGTTTGGAAATAGGAAAATAGTTATAGGTGAAGCAAGTCACAGATGGAAGAGAAAAGTGTAAGTTGTAATGGATTACCCGTCATAGTTGGCTATAATTAATGTGATCCACATTTTCTCTGTAAATCCTTAAGTTAAAGTCCATGCTCACTTTTAGATAAAACATTTCTTTATATTTATTAGCTGTAGATATTTTGAAGCTGTGTGATGACATGAGAGACAATGTGTTACCACAGTTGGGAGTTCGTTTAGAAGATCATGAAGGTGAGAAACATTACCTAGTTATTTAATACAGACTGTTTAGTTTCTTTACTTGCTATAGTACTGTTTTCTTTCATTTAGTACTCTGGTGTTATGTATAATTATGATAAAATTAAAATACCTCATAATTAGTTATCATTTATGATCAATAAATTAGATCGAAAAGATTTCTAGGCTGTTTCCTCTTGAATATTTGTTTGCAAATGTTATAAAGGCTTGTGTTAGTGCTTGAGATGTATAGAAGATAACAGTTGTTGCTGACACAGGTTGTCTGTCCTATAGAGCTTGGCATTGTCTGGTGACAAGGGTCCATGCTCTTCATTTTAGGGTTGTGGTTTCATTGTAAGAATGACTGTCAAGTTTCACTATTTGACTGGAGTAGCCCAAGAGGTGGTGGTGGGTAATGTTGACTACCTGCATTCTCTCTAGTTTATCAGCTCAGAATTAGGGACATTTAATGCAGCTAAACATTCATATAAAAGAAAAGATTGAGCACACCAGTAAACAGCAAATTTTCATAATGTTAAAAAATACTACTTGATACCTTATAAAACCTTTTTTTTTATTATAAAAATTATATAATACAGTTTAACTTTGGTTTTAGAGTAATTTTTCAAAATGTTCCACCCTTTTCCCCATGTGTGTCACAAGTTTTAAGATACAAATATCAGCTTTGACAACTTATTCATGTTTACTACTTTTATGTTAATTCACTTTGAGCTGAACCCGTTTGTAAAACATTCCTACAATGAGTCATTCTTATCCCATATGATTTTCACTTAAATTTACATGGAACAGAGTACTAAGTAATGAATTATTATAAAATGAGAAGCATGGGGAGAATATCAATCATCGCTAAAAATGTGGATCATTTGTGGGAAAATATGTAAAGCTGAATAAGTTCATAGGCTAAAGAAGACATTTAATCTTTAACTTTAAAAAAGTGGTAGATAAATCTTCCAGCTTTACACTTCTACTGCTATACAGTAAATGTTTGATTCTCTTGTACTTTTGAGAGAAGCTGAATCAAAAAGAAGAGTTTACTTACTGTTGTGGAAAAACAAAACAAACTAAAATACCAATGAAGTTAATTTGTTTTAGTTACTTTTAATGAAAATATCTACCGTATTTTTCGGAATATAACACGCACCCTTATTTTGAAGACAAAGTTTTGGGGAAAAAAAGCTACAGTCGCATTTGAAAGATTTTTATTGAACAAAAATTCAATTTTATACTTTAAAAATTAGTATATATTGTTCTAAACACAAAAGAGCTCAAAACATCAAAATAAGAAAATACTGTAAATCAAACAAAGGTTTACTGTTATGTAGTTTGGTTCAAAAGTAGGAAGCATTATAAATAGTTATGTTTTTAAAAGAAAAAAAAACTACTATTGTTATAAATAACACATTC